TCTCGTGACAACGCCGCGGAACCAACAACAAATGCTAAGCCACTCCACGCCACATGCCAACGCCTGGGGGCGCGAGGAACAATTCTTCCATCCACTTCGCTCGTCACAAGGCAACGCCGCGGGGTCGGAAAAAAAACAACAACAACTATTCCACTCCTTTCGTCACGTGGCAGCGTTGCGGGGGGCGACAGCAACTACTATGCCATTCCACTCGCCGCACGGCAACGATTGGAGGCAGCGCCGCGTGGACCAAGATCACAATTGTGCCTCAACGACGACCCGACGACGGCGAGAGCGACGACGACGAAAATGACGACGACGATGACCAGGGCCAGGGAGGCGAACAACGCTTCTATCCAATTCTTCTCGTCCTTCTTCCTCTCCCCTCCCTTCTTCCTCCTTCATCCTCCCTCCTCCCTCCTTCCTCCCCCTTCCTCCCTCCCGCCCCTCCCCTCCTCCTCCCTCCTGTTCTCTTCACTCCTCCTTCCTCCCTTGATCTATACCTTCCTCCCTTCTCCTCCCTCCTGTCCTCCCCCTCGCCCGCAATTTATTGCAATGTAATTTATGGCAAACGCAATGCAAATTCAACGCAGTGCAACGCAATGCAATGCAACAGGATGCAATCCAATGCAATGCAATGCAACGCAACGCAATGCAATGCAACGCGTCACGTGGCAGCGCCGTGGGAGCCGAGCAAAAATCATGATGCCACGACGACGGCGACGAGGGCCAGGGAGGCGAACCAAACTACTATCCTATCCTCCTCCTCCTCCTCGTCCTTTTCCCTTCCTCCTCCCTCCGCGATCCTCCCTCCTCCTTTTTGGCACTCAGCTACGATTCGGGGTCTAGCAGAATTGGTTGCACGAGTCGGTTCAGAAAGACCGGCGAGGATTGACATTTACACGGATGGTCCAGCAGGGGGTTACAGCTACGCGGCCAGCTCCGACACCCCTCCCCCATCCTGGGCCTTTTGTGTCATCTCCAGCAATGACGAACACACGTGGTTTGAAGGGTTCCAAGCAGGGCCCTACCAGGCATCAGGGACATCATCTCCCAATCGTCCTTCTCTGCATGCGGCAAGCTAGAAGCAGCATTCTGGGCTGCCAAGTGGATGAGTTCAGAGCCTACATTGCATGACTGTGAAGTCATCCTTCACAGCGACAATGCAGATGTAGTGCGAGTGGCACAGCTTGGGGGCACGTCAGGGGCTCTCAAGGAATCCAAGACCATCTTGGACGCGCTAGTGCAGATACTTGTACGCACGTTGCGCACATTTGCATGGCAGCACGTCCCAGGTCACAGCAATCACCCATGTAATGAATTGGTAGACACAGAAGCAAGTCTTGCCGCATACGGTGCCTACACAGGCACACCGGAGTACACATGGCGCGCAACATTGGACCTACCGTGGCACGCTGCAGCGCTACCGTGGGTATGGACAGCTATTACTCCCAACGCGGCTCGCGCCACCTGACCTCCGCCACACGGGACCCCCACGCCAGAACAATTACCCACGAAGGTCAAGCTGAAGGCTTGTATTCCAGAGGCTCCACCGCCCCCAGCAAAGCTGAGGGTCTCGCACTGCGTTCCGGCGAGACCCCAAAGGGTGGCCGCCTACGTTGGCGCTGTACGCTGATGACACGCTGTTGGCCTCGCAGTGCCGGGACTCTCTCCAAAGGCATTTCCACATAGTATCACAGATTGGAAAATCATTTGGATTGGACCTCAACGCAGGCAGGACGATTTTATTGAGAATCAGATCGGGCGACACAGTGATGGGGCCCAATGGAGAACCAATTCAAACAAAGGACAGCGTCGTTTATCTTGGGGGTCTTTTGAGCGCAGACGGCAAGCCAACAGCTGAAGTAACGCTGTGTTTCGGGGAGGCGAAAGGGGCATTCGATAAACTTTGCGCCGTATGGAGCCACGCGAACATGACGAAGCAGCATAAGCTATAAATATTGCATGGGTTGGAATATTGCGTGCTGCTGAAGGCCAACCACGACAGACTAGACGGCTTTCAAGCCGAATATATTCGCAACATATGGAAAATCCAGCCGGCTTTCCTGTCCCGAATCAGCAATGCACGCGTGCGCTCTGAAACGCGCGTCCGTCCATTATCATTTCTTCTATTGGAGCGACAACTGAAGCACAATGGGAAATTCACCTGAGCTCCCCCGCAGTCGCTTCCCAGAGCGATGGTTTTCCAGCCACGCCAGAATCTTTAGATGCTGCGAGACTGGCGCTTCCCGAAAAATCGAGGGAGGCCGCGTTTGCAATGGGCTGCGTATATGCACGCCCGCGCGATGGGTGTTGCAGGAGACGACCCGGGTCGCCTGCAAGTCTTGTTACAATCCCCTCAAAGTAATTGGGACGCAGCTGTCAATGAATACTGTAGCTCTTTAGTGTGACGTTGTTGTGTTTCCCCCCCTCTCTCCCCTCTCCCCGCCCTCCCCCCTCCCTCCTGCTCGCCCCTCCTGAACGCGAGCGTTGCTGATCACCCTCGCGCGCCACTTGCACAAAGGCCGCCGGCGGTCGAGCTCCGAGGCACGGTAGCCGCTCCCAGGCATGTGTATGTAGTTTTTTTTTTGCCGATGCGCCGTCCAGGCGCGGCTCTTGAGTGAGTGAGTGAGAGAATCGGATTTCCGGATCGTTCCTTCGACCTAGGTCGGGGAGCCAATTCGTGGCCGAGGCTCGCCGTGGGCAGAGAGGTCCGTTAGGATCGCTTGGAATTGTTGAGGGCGCGCTTGTCGACTACATGGAAGGCCTGATTAACTGTGCCCATGCAGTGGTGCTGCCTCGCGTGCGCCACGCCGCCGTCGCTCCTCAACCCCCTCGGCTGGTCCACCAAAGGAGTAAGGCCCACCCCATCGCCGTTCTCGCGCGAGGCTGCCCAAAGCATGGCGCGATGCGCCAGGCAAGCCCCGGAACTTCCAGTCGGTCGGTGCCGGTGCCCCCCCAAGCGGTAAGGTGGTCCCTCGGATCTCGGATGCCCGCGCCCCCCCCCTTCCGCCCCGTCCCCGACGCTCCAAACTCCTCTTTCTGGGCACTTTGCGGAGGCTGGCCCTCGTTGCTGCGGCTGGATTCGCCGTGGCAAACTACAGGGGGGGAGCTGAAGCGGTAAAGGGGCAATGGGCAGGGGAGATCGGACAGGAGTGGAAGGGGAAGATGGATGCTTGCGCGATCGCTGCGTCGGAGTGATATCGTGTTCACGTGGGCAAACATTCAGCCACATGGTCAGCCATGGCTTGGCCACGTTTAGAATGAAACGGTTGGGTGAATGGACCGATTGGTGGTTGTGTGTGTGGGTGCGAGTGGATTCATGAGGCAGACGATGTGCTGCCTGACAAAAAGGCGCTCACGATTCTCATGGCTCTGGCCTCCTCCCTGGGTTTTCTCCTTTTTTTCCATCTGCTCCCTTCCTCCCTGCCTCCCTCATTTCTCTCGCCCCTTACCCCGCCGCGTTCCCCTGCGATGTCCCTCCCGCCTCTTCTTTTTCCGTTGTGGTTTCTCCACCCCCTCCTTCCCATGCCTCCCCTCCCCTTTCCGCTCTGCTAGTCCGTCTCTCCCTCCCCCCTGTCGATCTCCCATCCAACAATGCCCGTCTTCGCCACTTCGCCCGCGGAGTCACCTTTTGGTGCGTCGCGTGACTTGTGGCCTTGCGCCTTTCTGTTGCTGGCTCGCCTGGTTTTGCCTTTCCAGCGGGCTAATACCATGGCTGTCTGTTGGAGGTAGCACGCGGTGCCGAGAGATCAGACGCCCTCCATCCGCTCCTCTGTCGCACGCTGCGGCGCAGCATGGCCGCGGTGATCTACAGTGCTCGAAGGTGGAGGCCTCATGTTGGTGGTTCGCGCGGTGAGAAGGAACCATCGCGACCTCCCGTCCAATGGTGGTGCGGCGGAGCGGGAGGGCACAACTCGCTGGTCGCCCCGCCAGCGCCCGGGCTGTGCGTGCCGTCTGGTGGGCGCGCAGGGGCCGAGCAGCACAGGGCTGGGAGGAATGAGGAGGGGGGGAGGATCAGCAGAAGGAGGAAGGGGGGCAGGGGAGTCGCGGTTAGGAGGGGTGGGGTGTGGGCGGGGGGGATGACGACGAAGAGGATGATGGTGATGATGATGATGATGATGATGATGATGGTGGTGATGATGATGATGATGATGGTGATGGTGATGGTGATGGTGATGATGATGATGATGGTGATGATGATGATGATGATGATGATGATGATGATGATGATGATGATGATATTGATGGTGAAGATGATGATGATGATTCATGATGATGATGATGATGATGATGATGATGATGGTGATGGTGATGGTGATGGTGATGGTGATGGTGATGATGATGATGATGATGATGATGATGATGATGATGATGATGGTGATGGCGTGGATTACAAAGTATCCCGAGTATCATTTGCCGACTAGTCAAATCAATTGGGGTTAGGGTGGGGACTGCTTGAGCTCCGTTGCCGTTTTGGCTCAAGGTTTGAGCAAGTTAGGTGGGCACGTTTGTGTGTACCTTGCGCGCGCCGCCTGCCACCTGCAGCCATGCCAGTCCTGGCCCTTCCTGAGCCTGGCGTCATTTCAGGCTTCACGGAGTGGGGTGAGATCCTCCAGCATTTCGGAGTCGAGCAGCCAGTGTGGGCCCAGGTCGCGGACTCCTTGGGCGACGCGGAGTTGATGCACCTCTTGCTCATTGCGAAAACCGCCAAGTCCGACTTGGTGGATGCGTCGCAGACGGCCGGCATCCGTGGGGTCGCCAAAACCCGCCCCATCATGGCGTACGGCACTGCTCGCTAGAGGCTGTCGTTTCCGATAGCCGATCTGTGGGCCGAGGTGCCGGTGGCGACATCACCTGCGACGCCGGCGGGGATAGATGCTGGTGCGGCCGCAGTGCCGGAGCCCCCAGCGGGACTTGCAGAATTGGTCCGCCGCACCCTAAATGTGAACCACCATTGGGACCCGGCGCGAGTGGAGGTCCTCCCGCTCGCACCCGAGGCTCTGGCCTCGATGAAAGCGCGGTGGGGCATGGCGTCGCCTGTGCCGATCAACACGGCAGCGAGATTGAGTGACGACCAGCTCAGTGTCATCGCATGTTTGTGCGAGATTCGGCTCAACATACTGGCGTGCGACCTCGTGATATGGGGCCCTCGTGATTCCCGCTGCCAGCGGATCACAGCTATCACGGCGCACCACCGCAACGACAACGGGGAGTGGATCCCGAGGCGTTTCGACGGCCCCGGTTGCGTGGACGACTGGCTTGGTGCCTGGAACTTTGCGGTCTCTGGCTGCCAAGCCGCAGGGTGCATCGACAAGGCCATCGCCGAGGCATACAGAGACCATTCCGCGAGCATGGCGAGGTCCTTCCCGGGAGCTGACGCGTGGGCGTTGTGCGTGGAGAGCGACTGGACGTTCAGGTTCGAGTTCGCGCCGGACGAGCGGGACCGCCAAGCCGCCGCGTACGCGCAGGCGCCACAGTTCTTGTACTATGATGCCGAGAAGCCGTGGAACGCAGTCGTCCTGGCTGATGTCTGGGGGGTTCGACGGCATGGCCTTTTTGGGAGTCCCATCTTAAGGAGCCCTGCGGGCGGCTCATGTACGACACGGCGAAGGCGACGCCGACTTTGGCGGAGTCTCAGGCCGCCGCCGTCTCACAGACTGCCGGGGCCGAGGGGCCCCAGAAGCGCGCCGTCGACGCCAGAGCGGGCCGCTGGGGCTCCCAGAGCAACGCGCCGCCGACGCCCAGCAGGCAGGAGAGCAGCTGCCCAGAGCGGAGCCCCGGCGGACGCAGGCACTGGTTCGAGCGCACCGCCACGGTCTTCCACGCCGCCTGGCGGGGCGGGGCGGCCTCCCAGGGCGGGCCCGGGACCTGCGAGACCAACCATTGCAGCAACGGCAGCAACAAACAGCGATCGAACACAAACCTAAGCATAGAAGGGGAATGGAGGGAGAACGAGGGCAATCACTTTTCTTGCCAGCTCGGCCGCGCGCCCCCTCTCATGTTCGAAATGCATGAGGGTCAAATTTTGTCGTATTGACGCAACGTTGTCGGTGGATTTCGACGTCGTATTGACGCATTGTCGTATTGTCGTATTTCGACTTTGTCAAACTTTGTCGTATTGACGCAGCTATGGATTCATATGTGATTGAGACGTGGGGCTGCAAACTTGCTACTATATAGCTGTTGACAGTTGGTTAGACATTTCGAAATATTGATGGACATAACCATGATCACCAAATCATCAATAAAGAAAGGAATCCGAGCTCTGGGGGAGGGCCAGCCTCACGGTGCCCCCCGCCGCGCGGGGGTGCCGCGAGGTTGGGGCGGCGGCGGGGGCCAGCCTCGCGGCGCCCTCCGCCGCGCGGGGAGGGGTCGCAAGGTTGGGGCTGCGGCGGGGGCCAGCCTCGCGGCGCCCCCCGGCGCGCAGGGGCAACGCGAGGTTGGGGCGGCAGCGGGGGCCAGCCTCGCGGCAGCGCCCGCCGCTCGGGGGGTGCCGTGAGGTTGGGGCGGCGGCGGGGGCCAGCTTCGCGGCGCCCCCGTGCGCGCGGCGGAGGGGTCGCTGCGTGGTTGGGGCGGCGGCGGGGGCCAGCCTCGCGGCGGCCCCCGGCGCGCGGGGGATGCCGCGAGGTCGGCGCGGCGGGGGGGGCGCCGTGGGGCGGGGGCGGCAACGGGTGCCAGCCTCGCTGTAACCTCGGGCGCGCGCGCGGGGGGGGTGCCGCGTGGTGGGGGCGGCGGCGGGGGCCACATTCGCGGTTTCCCCGGCGCGGGGGGAACGCGGGGAGGTTGGGGCGGCGGCCTCGTCCTGCTCCTCCTTTTCTTCCTCCGCCTCCTCTGCCTCCTCCTCCTTCTTCTCCTCCTCCCCGTTGTCCCCCTTCTCCCCTTCGTCGGTTGCTTCCCCTCCCCCCTCGCCTTTTCCTCCGCCCGAGCGGCGGCGCGCGCGCGCGCCGGGCGCCCCCGAGCGGCGGCGCGCGTGCGCCAGGCGCCCTCGAGCGGCGGCGCGCGGCCCCGAGCGCTCTCGAGCGGCGCCGCGAGCGCGCGGTCCATTCGCGCCCTGCCCGCCCCTCCCGTTTTTTTCTACGTCAGAAAACAGTAAAGTCGCATCGCTCACGTTTGCTTTCAATCGCGTGCCCCCATCGCGTCCGATGAGGGCGGGGCGCTCCTCTCCGAATTCGCCGCCGCGTTCTCGGCCGCGGAGCGCGACGTGCTGTTCGCAATGTTTCGCAAGCTGGCCCGCGTGGCTGATAATCTTCGCCATGTGATTGCACTACTGCAACTCGTGCTCCATCGCCTTGGGCGGCACCTGGCGCGTTGGCTTCGACGTGGCACGGGGCGTCCGCCAAGGCTGCCCGTTGCCCCCGTTGCTGTTTGCGGTGGCATCGGGCATCCTGCTTCGGCGCCTGGACCGGCGGCTCCCCGGAGCTCGCGCGCGCGCCCGCGCTAGCGACGCGGCCCTCGCGCACGTCGCCATCCTCCCGCGCGTGGGCGCCCCGCAGGGCGCGTTCCTGGTGTGCGGGTGCATGGCCTCAAGTGTCATATCGGCTAAACAGTGTTATTGGCATTTTTCAGGTGTGATCTCGACGAGCTGCGTCGCCGAGTTGTTCGGGTGGCACCGTTGCGGGGGCCCCTTTCGATCCAGGACGCGGCGAAACACGTCGGCGCGGTCGTCGGCCCGACGCGGTGCAGCGACGCCTGGGGCGCCCCCTTCAAGAAGTTCATAGAGAGAACCTTCTCCAAGGGCAGTTGGGAATCGACCTTGTTCGCGCATTTTTCCCAGCACTCCTCGGTTGGGTATTCGTTTTGAATAGAGCGCTGTGGTCGCGTCCTCCTTCTCCTCCTCCCTCTCCCGTCCCCCGCCCCCCGCTCCCCCGTTGTCCTCCGTTGCCTTGTGCGGGCCTCGCCGCCCTTTGAGGGTGGAGCTGCGATCAGCGACAGCGTCGCCACTTTCAAGCGCTGCTGGGGGCGCCGACAGAGCGGGCGGGTGCCCGCCGCAGATTCAAACTCGACATCGCCATCCCTGGGCGGCCGCGATCTGTGAGACTGTCGCCACTTTCGAGGCCTGCTGGGGGGTCAACAGAGTGGGTGCCCGCCGCGGATTCAAATTAGACCTCGCCGTCCATGGGGGGCTGCGATCTTTGAAACTGTCGCCGCTTCCGAGGGCTGCTGGGGAGGCCAACAGAGTGGGTGCCCGCTGGGGATTCAAATTCGACCTCGCCATCCCTGGGGGGCTGCGATCTGTGCAGCTGTCGCCACTTTCGTTCGAGTGCTGCTGGGGAGGCCCGCAGAGTGGGTGCCCGCCGCAGATCCAAATTTAACCTCGCCGTCCCTGGGGGGCTGCGATCTGTGCAGCTGTCGCCACTTTCGTTCGAGTGCTGCTGGGGAGGCCCGCAGAGTGGGTGCCCGCCGCAGATCCAAATTTAACCTCGCCGTCCCTGGGGGGCTGCGATCGGTGAACATGTTGAAGTTTTCGAGGGATGATGGGGGGGGGGGGGCAAAAGAGTGGGTGCCCGCTGGGGATTCAAATTCGACCACGCCATCCCCGGGGGCTGCGATCTGTGTGAAGCTGTCGTCGGGGGCTGCTGGGGAGGCCAACAGAAGGGGTGCCCGCCGCAGATTCAAATTTGACTTCGCCATCCAAGGGGGCTGCGATCGGTGAAGCTGTCGCCACTTTCGAGGGCTGCAAGGGAGGCCAGCAGAGTGGGTGCCCGCCGCAGGTTCACATTCGACCTCGCCATCCCTGGGGGGCTGCGATGTGTGAAAATGCTGCCACTTTCGAGGGCTGCTGGGGGTGCCGCAGAGTGGGTGCCCGCCACAGAGCCAAACTTGACCTCGCCATCCCGGGGGGGCTGCAATCTGTGAAACGGTCGCTGCTTTCGAGGGCTGCTGGGGCGGCCAACAGAGTGGGTGCCTGCAGCAGGTTCCAATTAGACCTCGCCATCCCTGGGGGCTGCGATCCGTGTCAAACTGTCGCCACTTTCGAGGGCCGCCGGGGAGGCCGCATATTCAAATTCGACCTCGCCATCCCTGGGTGGCTGCGATTTGTGAGACTGTCACCGCTTTCGAGGGCTGCCGGGGGCGCTCACAGAGTGGGTGCCCGCCGCAGATTCAGTCTAGATCTCGCCATCCCTGGGGGGCTGCGATCTGTGTGAAGCTGCCGCCGCTGTCGAGGGCTGCTGGGGAGGCCGACAGAGTGGGCGCCTGCCGCCGATTCGAATTGGACCTCGCCATCTCTGGGGGGCTGCGATCTGTGGAACTGTCGCCGCTCTCGAAGGCTGTTGGGGAAGCCAGAAGAGCGGGTGCCCGCCGCAGATTCAAATTAACCTTTTCCGTCCCGGGGGGGCTGCGACCCGCGAAAGTGTCGCCGCTTTCGAGGGCGGCTGGGGGGGGGGGAACGGAGTGGGTGCCCGCCGCAGTTTGAAATTTGACTTCGCCGTCCCTGGGGTGCTGCGATCCGCGAAAACGCCGCCACTTTCGAGGGCTGCTGGGAAGGCCGACGGAGCGGGTGCCCGCCGCAAATTCGAACTAGACCTCGCCATCCCGGGGGGGCTGCAATCTGTGAAACGGTCGCTGCTTTCGAGGGCTGCTGGGTCGGCCAACAGAGTGGGTGCCTGCAGCAGGTTCCAATTAGACCTCGCCATCCCTGGGGGCTGCGATCCGTGTCAAACTGTCGCCACTTTCGAGGGCCGCCGGGGAGGCCGCATATTCAAATTCGACCTCGCCATCCCTGGGTGGCTGCGATTTGTGAGACTGTCACCGCTTTCGAGGGCTGCCGGGGGCGCTCACAGAGTGGGTGCCCGCCGCAGATTCAGTCTAGATCTCGCCATCCCTGGGGGGCTGCGATCTGTGAAACGGTCGCTGCTTTCGAGGGCTGCTGGAAAGGCCCACAGAGTGGGTGCCAGCAGCAGATGCCAATCCGACCCCGCCATCCCTGGGTGGCTGCGATCTGTGAAACTGTCGCCGCTTTCGAGGACTGGTGGGGCGGCCAACAGAGGGGGTGCCCGACGCAGATTTGAACTAAACATCGCCATCCCTGGGGGGCTGCGATCTGTCTGACAATGCCGCCACTTTCGAGGGCTGCTGGGGAGGCCAGCAGAGCGGGTGCCCGCCGCAAATTCAAATTCGACCTCGCCATCCTTGGGGGGCTGCGATCTGTGGAACTGTCGCCACTTTCAAGAGCTGCTGGGGGGAGCCAGCAGAGTGGGTACCCGCCGCAGATTCAAATTCGACCTCGCCATATTTTCAACTTAGACATCGCCATCCCTGGGGGGCTGCGATCGGTGTCAACCTGTCGCCACTTTCGAGGGCTGCTGGGGAGGCCAACAGAGTGGGTACCCGCCGCATATTCAAATTAAACATCGCCGTCCCTGGGGAGCTGCGACTGCGAAACTGTGGCCGCTTTCGAGGGCTGCTGGGGAGGCCAACACAGTGGGTGCCCGCCGCAAGTCCAAACCAGACCTCGCCATCTCTGGGTGGCTGTGATGTGTGAGACTGTCGCCGCTTTCGAGGGCTGCTGGGGGGGCTCGCAGAGTGGGTGCCCGCCGCAGATTCAAATTTGACCTCGCCGTCCCTGGGGGGCTGCGAGCTGCGAGGCTGCCGCCACTTTCGAGGGCTGCTGGGGAGGCGGACAGAGTGGGCCCCCGCAGCATATTCAAACTAGACCTCGCCATCTCTGGGGGGCTGCGATGTGAAACTGTCGCCACTTTCGAGGGCTGCTGGGGAGGCCAACAGAGTGGGTGCCCACCTGAGCCTCCAACTAGACCTCGCCATCCCTGGGCGGGCTGCGATCTGTGAAACTGTCGCCACTTTCGAGGACTGGTG